TCCCTGCGCTCCAGTCTCTGCCTAGCTCGGGCCAGCAGAACAAACAGCCCCTCTCGTGGCGGGAAGCAGTGGCTCCTGGAGGAGGTGAACCTGACTTTCAAGCCCGCCCCAGCTCCCGCTTGTCTGCAGGCCTCTGAGGTTGGCCAAGCAGCCTCTTCTAGTTCCAGCAGCCCCCAGGAGCTGAGGGTGTGCCCTGCCCTGCCCGGTCCGAGAGGCACCCAGAGTTGGCCCGGTGACCGCGATAAACGCTCCCTTCCTGCGACGCCGGCGTCCCACGGAGGAGGCAGAGCCCGTTGGGGCGCCCCCTGCTGGAGGGAGGCCACCAAAGCGTCAACGTGCCGTCCTGGGCGCGGAGGGGGGGGGGGGGGGGCGCGAAGTGCCCTGAGCTGCTGCCGGGTGCTTTCGGCATAAAAGTTGGGGTGTCCGCTGTGGGACATCGAATTCTTCACCCCTGCTCCGCGGAGAACCTCCTTCTGGCTTCTGAGTTCCCTCCAGATTGTGGGTTGCCCGCAGGGGTGAGGCTTAGGACAACATTGTGCTCAGCCGCTCCTACAGGCCTGCTCGTGTTTTGTTTTTCTCTTTGCCGGAGGTGGAGTCCCTCCGCTAGTTTTTAGGTTTGTGTTTTTGTGTTTGTGTTTTTGTGTTTGTTTGTTTGTTTGTTTGTTTGTTTGTTTTCATTAGAAGGTGTTCCACATGTAGCTGTAGATTCCACGTGTTCCTGGCAGGAGGTGAGTTCAGGATCTTCATATGTCACCTTGATGAGTCAATCCCGCCATATATGACAGGGGAGGAAAGGAAACGGATGGCTATTTAGCTCCTGCTTTGTTCTAAGATTTCCATATGTATTAATTCTTTACATAATCAAAACAACTATTTTGAAATATATTATCAATCATTTCTACAAAAAGGGAAGCGGAAACTCAGAATTAGGGTAAGTTGCCCCGTGAGAAATAAACCCCCTGACCCAATCAAAGGAGGGACGGAGACTCGGAGCACAGTGAAGCGAGGCTTTAATCAAGGTTCTTGCAAGAGCAGGTGTCTGGTGGACAGACACCCTGGGGGTAGTTACAGCAGGCAGTTTATCGCCTAGTGTGAAGTCCCTCCCCTGATTCCTCATTGGCTGCTAACTACAGAGGTTACAGCCCTACCCGGAAGTCGCCTATGCCCATATAAGGCCGAGAAGCCGTTCCTTGAGGCGTCACAGAGACTTCAGGTCTTTGGCGCATGCTCACTGCAAAGCCCGGGAAAAATAAGCCTGTGAAATGGAGAGGGGAAGACGGAGCGGTAAGTGAAGTGTCTTAAGTGTTGCGGACTCCATTCTGTGGGGGTGGGGGCAGGGAAATTGTACATATTTCCAATAGGTTGTAAGCTGGCCCACACAGCTTTTATGTGATATTTCTGAAAATGAATCATCTCACTTCTCACAGCCCGTGGCTCTCCCGCCCCCAAGGAGCCTGCTAGACTCAAACCTAGACTGCTCTGTGTTCTCAAATATGAACTCTTTTCCCATTCTTCTCCAGCGAATTACACTCAGTAGAGCTGGGGGATGGTACAGGTCACTGCCGCCTCTGAATTTCCTGGTCCTTGTTATTTCAGATGGTTAGTCTCATCTTGCAAAGGTGAGGGTAAGTTTCCTGAAGACTTACGATATCAAAGCAAGTGTTAAGAATGAATTTCCTGTATTAGGTCCTACTCTAGTCCAGGCATCAGAGAAAACACACCTAACGTAATGGAATCCTCACTTCCACCTAGAGACCTTTCTGGTTGACCCTAATGGAAGTGTTTTTTCCGGTTTCATTCCCTCCCTCGCTCTCACCGAGTTCTCTTCTCCAGATTGCACTTACCACTATCATAAGTTATGGTGTTTATTGCTGGTCTGTTTTAGGTCACTCTGGCTTGAATGGAAGCTTAATGAGAGCAAGGATCTTATCTGAATTGTTTCATCGTTATCTCTACCAGCTAGCAAATACTGGAACCTAGTAATAGACCAATCGATACTGTAAGTAAATAAAAAGATAATATTATCCTTTCTGTATGACTGCTTCCGCTAATAGAGTGAAGTCATTATCTTAAAGTTCTATCAGTTCAGGTTTGTTTTGCCATTTGGCCCCAAATGGCCAAGGGAACAGCAGCCTACAGAGCTTCTCCGAGCCTGTAAACCAAAGCTTCCCACCCCAAAACACTGTCTTTGATGATGCTCTACATCTTGCATACTTTTTCCACGAGCACCAAAATTCTGACTATCCCCATTATGCAAACCTGCCTATGACCTCTTTCTACACTCGATTAATTAATTGCTCATAATGTGAGGAAATCTGGGTACAAGCACAGGCGCTAATATCAGACCCCCATGAAAGGTTTTTAGGCAGTTTCTGAATTTGTTATCATTGCTTAACCACCGTTCTTCCTCCAGTAGGGGTATAAATAAAAGGGTGTCACATCAGGAAACTTAACACCACACCCCCTTGCTCTCCTTATTTGCTTTGAGGAGCGTAGCGAAGAGTTTATCCTGTTGAATTCGGGGGTCGTGGGATTAAGCCCTGTGTCAGCCTCCAGGCTCAGCTTGCGATTCTGCCCCACGTGCACCCACTCACTCTCTCTAAAATAAAATTTAAGGGGCGCCTGGGTGGCGCAGTCGGTTAAGCGTCCGACTTCAGCCAGGTCACGATCTCACAGTCCATGAGTTCGAGCCCCGCATCGGGCTCTGGGCTGATGGCTCAGAGCCTGGAGCCTGTTTCCGATTCTGTGTCTCCCTCTCTCTCTGCCCCTCCCCCGTTCATGCTCTGTCTCTCTCTGTCCCAAAAATAAATAAAACGTTGAAAAAAATTTTTAAAAAAAGAAGTCACAACAGTATGACATGAGTAACGATGATGGTAAAGAATTGATACTTTCAATGAGGTAGAACAGTTTTCAAATCCAGGATTTAAATTTAGGTCTTAATCTCATGCACTCCCGCAAGATAGATGCTTCCTTCATTTTATTGCTCACGGTCCTTTGGCGAGTGCCGCTGTTCTTTGTAAACACATTTTACTTCATCAAGCATGTTGAGCTCTTAAATTTGTAACCTGATAGAGCTCCCTAAAGGCTCTTGATTCTTCCTGGCTTTCTTTAATTATAATGATTTTTGTGGAACAACATGGGTTAACATGTTCCTCCTGGGTTGCAAGTAACTTAATCTGAAGGATACTTCAGCTTTAGTGGGCTTTTGATCTGAGAATGTCATTTTGTTCAGGCTATCTAGATACTCATTGATCTGACAGGTAGCTGGCAACATTTCTAATGGAGATCATTCTTTTTTCATTAATTTTAACTGCATTATGGTTTTTGATAAAGTGGGCAACAGTGGATGGTAATCTATTATGGATCTGAGGGAAAAAAAAAATGCCTCCATGAGGACAAAGTGCTAGTTGGAGAAACTGGACTTTATTTTTTTTTTAAGTTTTATTTATTTATTTTGAGAGAGAAAAAACACAAATGGACGAAAAGCACAGAGAAAGGAGTAGAGAGAGAGAATCTCAAGCAGGCTCCACACTGTCGGCACAGAGCCCGACGCAGGACTCGAACTCATGAACAGGGAGATCATGACCTGAGCTGAAGTCAGACGCTTAACTGACTGAGCCACGCAGTCACCCAGAGAAACTGTATTTTATTTAAAACAAAAACAAAAAAACCCATATTTTTAGAATAAATCCCCTCAACATAGTAATAATTTTTGACATTCTTTGTTCTTTCCTTTTAATATGAAAATGAGCATACTACAGGAAGTAAGCACTATGAATTCATGTACCCAACGTTTTTCTTTCAATGGGGAAGTGAGACTTCCCAATAGAGTCAGCAAATATTTATTAGCCATATATGATATGCCAAGTACTGTGATCAACGTAGGGCAGAGTTTCTCATCCTCAGCATTATTGGAATTTTGAGCGAGAATTTCTCTGTTATGCATGGCTGTCCTATGCATTGTGGGATATTTAACATTATCCATATGCTCCACCCACTAGATGCCCCTCTTACCCTCCCCCTCTGATTATGGTGGCCAACAATGTCTGATGATGTTACCACATGTCCCCTGGGGGCAAACTTGCCTACAGTGGGGGACCACTGGCTTGATGTGCACAGGGATTAATCAGACAACTCCTGTCCTAAAATGTGTGTATCCATTGACCGAGAAATGCGTATAGTTACATGTAATACATGTACTTGGAAAAATTAGAAAAAATCATATGCACAATTTGCCGTGCACATATTTGTAGGTGGATAGTTTGTATGCGTATATCTAAGGCATTATCTGCAGCATTATCTATGCTAGCAAAAAGAAAAAAATAATCTTAACTTTCTCAAACAAAGGAAGAAAACAATGTATATATCAAGCATTTACTATGTGTTGGCAACACACTGGATTTTGTCACATATGGTAGCAAGCACATCAATGTCCATAAATGCCCTGTGATTTATGCGTTATTTTCTCCATCCCGTAGATCAGCAAACCATGGCTTAGCATTGTTAACTGTGTGTCCAGGGAAACCCAGCACACTGCTGTCCGTCTGAATTCTCATTCAGGTCTTTCTGATTTCAACCATTCTGCTTTTATACCCAAGAAAAGTGTTTAAGAAACGATGCTCATGCAATAGGTTAAAATATTTATTGTTTGAAAAAACTCTGAGAAAATGAATTTAAGAAAACAAGCAATGAGAAGGTATTCTGCTACCAGTCACAATCAGATGGACTGATGCCTCCGTGTAGATAAAGCATAAATGGAACAGAAGGCTTCATGGCTCATGCAAACAGCGTTTGTCGTCTTGGGTTGGTAGGGATACGAGGTGGTTTTGTCATGAGGCATCGTTGAATATGCTGCTATGAACGACGGATACAAAATACATCAGACTAAGCATCTTTATGGTGTCTAGGCATACACTTCAAAGTCAGAGATTTCTTCTACGTTGAAAGAAACTAACATGCTGAATTTTAATTTGCTCTTTTCTCTGGAATGTAAAGTGCTTTGCTGACCTCTGCGAATAGAAAGCATTTCTCTGATGGCAGAGAAGTGAAGGCGAGATAGCCAAGTCACTGCTGCCGCTGAGTGCACCCGCGGGACACCTGCACTGACCCACTCAGGTGCCTGAGAGGTGGAGACAGCAGGCTGGCGAGTCTGACGGAAGAGACGCTCTGGAAAACTGTCAGCTAGAGGCAAGTGCACACGTGGGTGTGATCTACACAGGACTTAGTTTCAGTGAGCGTGCAATTGTTTTTTATTAAAATGCCAGGCATCTATCTATCTTTCTTTCTTTCTTTCTTTCTTTCTTTCTTTCTTTCTTTCTTTCTTTCTTTCTTTCTTTCTTTTGTTTATGTATTTATTTTGATAAAGAGAGTGAGGAGCAGGAGAGGGGCAGAAAGAGAGGGAGAGAGAGGAATATCCCAAGCAGGTACCATGCCACCAGTCAGCACAGAGCCCAGTGCAAGCAGGGCTTGATCCCAGGAACCGTGAGAGCATGACTTGAGCCGAAACCAAGAATCAGACGCTTACCCGACTGAGCCACCCAGGCACCCTGGCATTTTTTTTTTTTTAATTTCTTAAGAAAATATTTACTTTTTTTCTTACTACAGGATTGTTTCAAAGAAACATAGATTCAGAACTACAGGCATTATTATACAGTAATCCAATTCAATCTTTACTAGAGAAAAAGAAATGGGTACCGAGAAGGAAAAATACTGTGCCCAAATTCACCGAGCAAGCCTGTAAGAAGACAGCATGTTCAAATCAATATGGAAACTATTCCTGTGGGAAACATCTCCTTGGTGTATCGTCTGTACATTTGAATTTGCTCTTTTCACCTCTCTGTTCCATTTATTCCGCTGCAAACGTTTATCATCCACTACATGTCGTGTTCTTCATACATTTCAAGGGAAATAAAATATAGAGAGAGCTCTAAAACTCAGCACGCCCAGTGATGCAGAGTTAATAGCTATAATCAAGTGAAGAAGCCGCTCCAGGAAGACTGGAGGGTTGGTAACAGGGAAGACTTCCTGGAGGAGGTAGCACTTCATCTAAGGATTTAATTCTAAGATGAATGAACCAGCCACACTGCAGATAGTGGATGTTCAAAGCAGAAGGATCGGCATGGAAGGATATAATGTCAGGCCAGCCTCAGAGTCGCAAAATACTCAATATTCAAGATCAGACACTGTGTCAGGTAGGAAAGGGAATAAGCAGAGACAGGCTGTCGGAGATCTGACCCAGCTGGATGCCATTTGAGGATGAGCATTATGCCACAGACCCTGTGCTAAGTACCTTCCACAATTTTTTAACCCCCCACAATAACCTGCAGGAGAGATCTGTCCCCATTTTAAAGGGGGGGAAACTGAAGCCCAGAGAAGTGACTTTGCTCCAGGTTCTGAAGTGCTGAAACTTGAATGATGTTAAATCCACACGGTCCATTATGATTCCTAAATGGCTTCTGGTATCTCCTTCTGAGGAGAGCTGTCTTTTCTCCTTCTCGGTCCCATGTGGCCATTTAGCTGTATCAGTTTTGTTAATCTGGGTCCTTTGCTTCCCATGCATAAGAGCTCTTGGGCAGAGAGACCTCTCCAAAGGTGAAAGCAGCAGCATGAAGACCATCAGCTTGAAAGAAGAGAGCGGAGAAGGTTTGGGGGTCCACTTGGGTTTAAGATCTTCAGCATTAGAAGACTGCTGTGGGGCCAGCAAATGTTGGATAATTCCTAGGGTGTGCCTGTCGTAAGCCCCTCCTGTTAGTCTGGCTCTAATGGCTCTGTATATCCAGGATATCCATTTTGCCTTTGGTCATCCCATCTCATAAATTATTATTTTCTGGTAATTTTTTTCATGTTTATTTATTTTGAGAGAGAGAGAGAGAGAGCACGCACATGCACGCACAAGCCTGGGAGGGGCAGTGAGGGAAGGAGAGAGAATCCCAAGCAGGCTCCATGCTCTCAGCACACAGCCCGACTTGGGGCTCTATCTTAGAAACGATGTCTTGACCTGAGCGGAAATCAAGAGTTGGACGCTTAACCACCTGAACCACCGAGGCGCCCCTATCTTATAAATTCTGAGACAAAAGTCTGACTTCAAGGAGACTCGTTAAATTCTGTGTTTTCCCTGTGGTCTACGAGGTGAGCCACAGGGCCCTGGCATGCCTCGTGAGCCCTCCACAATCTGGCTCCTGCCTGCTCTTGCTTCTTATCTCCTGTCTCTGGCCCCCTCTGTTTTATGGTTCAGTTATATAAAATTATCTATAGCTTCTCTCGTATGTAATACTCTCTCAAATCTCCACTCTTCTGACTGGGACGTCCTCTTTTTTGTTTGTTGACTTAGAAGATATCCACCCACCCTTCTGTGAAGCCTTCCTTGCACATCCCCTTTGCAATGATGAAGTGAGTCTTTTTGCTGCTTTCTAGCTTGCAGGCCTCTCCATGGGCACAAGTTGCAACCATTTGGCTGGCGGTTTCCTTTCCCCCATGTAAACATATTTTGATTTATTTCTTTTCACGTTTGAATATTTAACATCAGCACACTGAGTGATTCAGAGTATATGCTTGTGATGGTTAATTTTATGTGTCAACTGGGCTAAGCCACAGTAATCAGATATTTAAAAATTATTCTAGGGGCGCCTGGGTGGCGCAGTCGGTTAAGCGTCCGACTTCAGTCAGGTCACGATCTCGCGGTCTGTGAGTTCGAGCCCCACGTCGGGCTCTGGGCTGATGGCTCAGAGCCTGGAGCCTGTTTCCGATTCTGTGTCTCCCTCTCTCTCTGCCCCTCCCCCGTTCATGCTCTGTCTCTCTCTGTCCCAAAAATAAATAAACGTTGAAAAAAAAATTTAAAAAAAAATAAAATAAAACATAAAAAAAAATAAAAATTATTCTAGATATTTCTGTGAAGGTCTTTTTTTTTTAATTTTTTTTAAGTTTATTTATTTTGAGAGACAGAGAGAGGGAGAGAGCAGGGGAGGGGCAGAGAGAGAGGGAGAAAAAGAATCCAAAGCAGGTTCTGAGCTATCAGCACAGAGCTGGATGCAGGGCTGAAACCCACGAACCGTGAGACCATGACCTGAACCAAAACCAAAAGTCAGACACTTAACCACTGAGTCACCCAAGTGCCCTCCCTATTTTTTTTTTTTTTTTGAGGCTAATGTTTAATTCTGTAGACTTTAGGTAAAGCATATTACTCTACATAATATAGGTGGGCCTTATGCAATCAGTTGAAAGCCTTAGTAGAAAAAAGACTGATTCTCCTGAAGAAGGGGGAAATCGGACAGTGGCCAGCCTTAAGACTTCACCTACAGCATCCGCCCTTCCCCATGTCTCCTGCCTGCTTGCCTATCCTGCAGATTTTGGACTTTCCAGGCTTCGTGATTGCTTGAGCCAATTTCTTAAGTCAATCTCTGTCTCTCTCCCCCTCTTATCCTCCCCTCTTCCCACTGGTTGTCTTTCTTTGAAGAACTTGGACCAGTGGAACACTGAATGGATTTGTTAAAACAATAAAAAATCAAACGGATAGAGTGTTCTTTTTCCTAGACTGACTTTCTTTTGTCCACATACAAAGAATAGTATGTACCCCTGAAAAACATTCAGAATGTATACTAACAGAAGTTCTGCTCTTTACCATGAGGGATATTTTTTATTAGTAATTACTTCTGCAAAAGAAGCGATTAGCTTCCAAATATTCCCTAACACTGCCCTCACTAGGAAGACATAATTTCATATATTTCAATCCCTCTATTATTAGGATATGAGCACTGACTTCCAACTGAAACATCTGGGGTCCCATGTAATCCCTCTATTATTAGGATATGAGCACTGACTTTCAACTGAAAGATCTGGGAGCTGAAGACCTTGGGCAGAAGTCGCTCAGCCTCTTTGATCCTCGGTTTCCTCATCTGTAACTTATGTGCTGTAAGGTGACTTGATTCCTGTGAAAGAGAGCAAATTTAAGTGGAATGCGTGATTTAGACTTGGAGACATAGGGTTCGAATTTAAGTTTGTTAAATTACTAGTGTTAAATTACTACTATCTCTAAAAAAATGTCCTTCACCTTTCTATTAGTTTCCTCATTTATAAATGGGGATCATTGCATTTGCCTGTTTTGTTACGCATATTGAGTGTGGTGCTGCAGACAGGGGTCAGGCTTGGGATAAAAGCATCAAGAACTCACCAGAACTGCCCTTGAGTCCAGCGGGGGTGTTTCCCTGTTGCTGCCCAGAAATGTCATGACAACTCTGTGCAAAGGGGAGTCGTTCCCCACGTCTATGCTAAGCAGGAAATGATCCTTTCTACCAGAGAAGTTTTTAAATATTCCTCCCGTGATCTCAAGAGGGAAGGATCCTCGCAGAGAAAGTGCCTACACCGAGCATGTGCAAACACACAGGAAGACATCCCCATGAGACATCCAGGGGGAGGCTGCTTTGCACAGCCTGTGCTTCACACAGACGGCCGATTTGGACCCTGACAAACGTGTCCTAGAAAGGGATGAAGTGTTGGGATTCAGAGCCTACGGCCAAGAAAGAATTCTTGAGATGCCTTGGTGCAAAAAGGTGGTTTTATTAAAGCACAGGGTCAGGACCTGTGGGCAGAAAAACTGCACGGGGATTATGAGGAGCAATTGATTATATACTGGGAGTTGGGGGAGCTCAGACAAAGGGGGAAGTTTCCAGAAGGATTTTTCATATGCTAAAGAAGACTCACTGGAACATGCAGGCCTAACTATTGTTGAGCTAATGTTGTTTTTCCCCCTAGCAAAAGCAGTTACATTCAAACAGTTGGGAATCCCTGGAGGAATATTATAAGCTGCCTGCTTCAAGTATTTGTCAATGGGCTGCAGGTAATAAGGAAATTTAATATCTATGTTTCCTTTTTGCCTTTGTTCTTCACATCAGAAATCACGGATAGAACTTTGTACTTCAGGACTGTTTGCTGGGAAGTAACATAATCCAAGGCTTAGAACTTCCTCTGATCGTGACAGAACTTGAACAAAATGAACAGCTGGGCACCCACAGGAGATCTTTGGACTGGATGAGAGCACCTGACCAGACACTTCAACAGAGTCGTGAAAAGAAAGGACAATGAAGCAACATTACTACAAATTCTTAAACTTTATTTCATATGCATGTGTATCTTATTATGTTTTTTACAAGATGAGGCTTTAGTCATTTTGATACTTTTTTTTTTTTTTTTTTAACCAGAAAATCTGAGTTTGAGGTGTCTGGGTGGCTCAGTTGGTTAAGTGTCCGACTTCAGCTCAGGTCGTGATCTCATGGTTTGTGAGTTTGAGCCCCGCAGCGGGCCCTGAGCTGGTAGTACAGAACCTGCTTGGGACTCTCGCTCTCTCCTCTTTCTCTGCTCCTCCCCACCCTTGTGCTTTCTCTCTCTCAAAATAAACAATCTTAAAAAAAAAATCTGAGTTTAAGAGCCCATGAGATTGTTAAAGACTAACTTGATAGGTCACGTGGTACCACCTAATTCTGAGCCATCATTGCCCACACTGCCTTCCGTATAGAATGCTGCCTAAGCCAGGTATATTTATCGGTGGTAGTATTGAATTTTTGAGGGGTGGAAGTATTCCATGCCCCATAAACCAGTTACCAAGTACAGATATTTTCAAGGTAAAAATTGCACTGGACAAAGTTAAACACGTAAGGAAGACTTTATTCAAGGCTATTACCATAGATGCCAGAGCCCAGTATGAACCCAAATCCGCTGAAACAAATGTTGGGAGTGTCTGGAGAGCTGGAGTAGGGAAAAGCCAGGCCATCTGTGTTTGCAGATCGGCCTTGCTCAAAGGAAAGGGAACTTTCTCCTATCTTTGTGGCAGAAGGTTGTTGGCAACTTGCAGCAAGTTGCCGGCTGAAGTCCAGCTCCTAACCCTCCCATAGAAACTAGGAGATAGCAACACTCTCTTCCTTGATGATGCATTTCAAAGGCATGGCTCCCAGGTGCTTGAGAAAGACAGCCTTGGGTTGGAAAACTGGCAAGAAAGAGGCTTTTAAAAAGATTTACATCTCAAATAAACAGAAAAAGAATTTGCAATCCCCAGTTTTCTAAAGTCAATACTCTTAAGGAAAGGGAGGTCAGGATCTAGAATCCAGTCTAAAGTGTACTGAAGCCGAGGGAGACACGAAGGCCATCTTGATCAATGACTAGAACATAGAACCCCCTGAATGCACTGGTCATATTGTGATCAGAACAATGATCATGTTTTGTGCTCTAAGCTTTTAAATTTAGAATGTGGCTTTATTTTCCCTGTCTCAAAGGGAAGTTGTTTACTGTTTAAAAATAATTATTTTTTCTCGTGCTTCAAAAAAGAAATGCCTCTCCTCTCATGAGACTGAGGATTCATTATAGTTGTCTCCCCTCACACTTAAAAAAGGAATTTTTTCACTGCACTTTACACTTGAAAGGAATCCAACATTAAAGTTTGAAACTTTCCTTCACATCAGGCTTATTTGCTCTAATTAAAACAAGATTAGCTGACATTCACAAGTCATTTACAAAATGTATAACTGCATTCTGAGAAAATATCTAATTATAAAGACAACATGGAGAATCGGAAGGAGGTTTTGAAATTTGCCCTAATATTTTCTTTGCGCTATTGTCTTCAAAGCTTCGTTAATGAATGACTATTAACACATTCTGTGTGAATTAGAATCTAGGTCTCTCCTTTATCTTTCTATCACGGCATCAGAGTTTCCTAGAAAACACACACACACACACACACACACACACACACACACACACACACACGATTACAATGGAAGCATCCAGAGAGACTCAACACTATGAGTAAGTGTTTCATGCCAGATGCTTTTGCATCAATGACTTTATTTAATCCATAAGGCAATGCAGTTGTCTGAGTGTATCATTCTCATTTTACAGATGAG